TAGCAGCTTACGTTCAAACGTTGATCCTCGAAGGCTGGTCGATCGAGTGGCACTAGTTATGCTTTCTTGGGTCGTAGTGCACAACCATTTCGTACACAAGCAAGGACTTCGATCGAAAGAATTAATTTGTTAGTAGTGATGTACTTGCTTTCTTATAGAGTGAACAAAAGCTGTTGACCGTTGATTATCAATTATTGCAACTGACAGTATGTATATATTTACACACAGAATTCGTAAACAGACTTTTATGCGTGTGCACATCTGCACACATGGTGTATGAGGGAGATACTAAGCTAGCAACCTTCTGTTGCTCTCCTGCCGTTGTGTGCTCTTATACTTTTCCTATGGGTTGTACGATTCGTTCCGACATCAGCTGTGTGCTCCACTGAGCGTGGAAATTCATGGTGGTCTGTACACTCTCCCGGTCCGTAGTTTTTACTCCTCTCTCTCTCCATCTTACTCACTGACACCTTAGTTGTCATAAACGACGCACACTGCTAAGACAAGAACAAGTCGTCTGCCTTGTAATCCGGACGTCACCGGTTCATATCGGGCGACTCTCGCAGTATTATTATCGCCTGTGCGACTGTTGGTGATTGCGTGGCCGCGAAACGTCGGTACGGAGTACTGCTGTTGTCTTTTCTTCTTCTTTAAGATAACGATTTTATTTGGTTACCATGATCCGTTGGAAAGGTATAGCTGTCACAGTATCCACTTGGCATGTTTCTGATTCCCTTCTGTCGTCTTATTCGGGTAGAAAAATCGAAGCTCCGAGCCTGTCATGCCACTGATCCATTTGGGTTGGCTGGTATCCTGTGCCATCGCCGACCCTCCGTAAAATCACTCAGTTGGGAAAATGCCCTTATGGAAGCATTCAGCCGTGGAGTCCTGCACCGCAACTATTCGAAGCGCAAAGCAAGGGTTTGCAGCTTAACTGTTAAAGTGTTCCGGCTGATGTAGTCACTGTGACAAATATTATTCATAAAACCATTAAAAAGGAAAAGTTAAATAGCAAAAGCTTTGTTGAAAACAAGTTTAGCGATTTCCAAATGGGAGGATTAATAGTTTATAGTAACATCGTCAGTTTGGTTGCTTACTTGTGTTCCGAATACCATGCTGCTGGGAATTCAGTTTAATTTAATTACGCCTCCATAGTACTGGCCTGAAAGGTTGAATTGGAAACGCACGAACTTCAAGGGAAAAGTTACGAGGAGAAATGCCTGGTGCAATTGTTGTATGAAAAGGTGAACTGCAACACACAAGCGTTCCGCCCTAAATCACGGTCGCGTCTTATCTACTAAGGGCTTTAACTTGTGATATGTTTGGTCCCAAGATTGCTTTTTTTAGGCCATGCGCACCACCTGTATTTGTTCTATCCGTTCGGTTGAACTCGCTTTCTTCCAGATCCTTCAACCATCGTTAATAATCCCGAATTTTCCCCTTCCTCCAGCTCTAGCAGTCTTACTGTACCTCCTCAGACTGTTAGACACCCCTCACATCCTATGAGACGAGACCTCGTAGATGTTCAATCTATCTCCTCATAAATCAGGGCACACACGCTTTCTCTTAGGCGCCGCTTGATCTTCACATAGTTGTCAGCTGTTTGCAATCTTACGTGATTCGCGATTTGTAAGTACCTTGGTCATGTAGTCAGCCCATTTCATCTCCTTTTCCCAATCCTTATCACTAAGTCATGTTTCCTAACCTGTAGCTTTATTACCTTCGGATACACTGGTGTGCCGTTGGCCACGCACTGCATCTAGACTAGAATTAGTCTGCACACCATTGAAGTTAGAGCAGCCTAGCCGATTTTCGCCCCGCGGCTGGCTAATCGGGATAACCTGGTTTGTTTCCAAGTCCTATCCAAAGATCTCTTATCCCTTATGTCAGTGCGCTGGTGTACTTTGATTCGAATAACTGGCTTGACGCCCATCGTAAACCCATGGAAACCGGCGTCATGCGTCACCACTTTATCCTAACGCCATATCGTCTTGGCGATCGTCGTGTGACATCGCTCATTGTAACCGCTCCCTGTCCTGTTGTATCTGCCGAACTGACAAGCGCACTTTGCACTCTTGTTCCCCCTCTCCTCATATACCGCAACCGGCCTTGTTCCATTGACCCATGTGGTAGTGGGCCAAGCTCAGGATTATGGTTGGCACTAAATTAAGTTGTGGGTTCTTCGCGGTTGATTCAATTAGCTGCTGGATATGTTGATCGATCCACGTGCGCAGGTGGTTCTATTACTCCTTGCTGCCTCACATATCCGGGGCGATCATGTAGCTGTCCACTCTAAAGTCACCTGTGCTAAGTGTTGGACACTGCAGTACAGCCCGTGTCAGTGTATTGCCCAGGTATATCAGTCGATCGTCCAAGACATTACTGGGTCAGCGCTCCGCCGGATGATTACAAGTACCTTCAATGCACTGCTCATATGCTGCCTGATCACTGGTCCTTTTACTCTATTGGTGTTGATCACCTTGATGGGGTCGCAGCCCCCGCTCGCTAATCGCCTGGGTGCCACTTTATTCCACCAAACGAGCCTACATAAGCTTTGTTACTGGACGATTAGATGGTTATATGATAAAAAGGACTTGGCCGAAAGCGTGCTTTGCGTCACTAGGTGTCATTCCTCTTGCAACTCAGTCTACTAGATGACGTGATTGATCATTGTCGCATCTGTGCGCTCTCACCTTATGCTTCTGCATCCCACGCTGTTGCTCATTTTGACTTGTTCCACTTCGATTTTCACCGTCGCTGATTTTACCGGCTCTATCCGTCGTAGTCATTTGTCCGTATACCAGCCAGTGACTTGAGTTACTGTCAGTCCATTCAGCTTCCAAAAACGGAGTTGTTTCTGCTGGTTCACTTCTATACTTGACAAATCACAGTCCAAAGACGAGCCGCATGTGCTTCTGTGCTATCAGAAAGTAAAAAGGCATCAGCAGCACGCCGGTACGCAATACCAACGCTTCACTGCCGCGCAGCCACCACTAGTTACACGTGGGCAAAGGATACTGCGAGCGTCGCCCGGTCCCCTACGTAGAATGGAACTCGCGAACCCGAATTACAAGACAGGCTTGTGGTCCTTAAGGCCACGGGCCACCAGAACAACGCAACCGAATTGATTATTGCTACTGGTACATTTTGCAGCGTTATCTTTGTGTCCTACTTGAATTGCTAAACGTCTTACTGCTGTTTCTATGATATACTTCCCGCAGATATTTAACAGTTCAGTTAAACTCTGAACTGTCCGCGGCTGCGGCTTACCTCTACATGCTCCGACGCGTTTGTTTAAGCGCTCGCCTACTTCCCTACCACTCTAATCGTTTCTTCTCATTGTCTCTGCTACTTTTGTTTCATTATTTCTCTGCGGATTATCAGCGCTAAACACCTACGGCGCACTGCATCTGTTGTGGAATCCGCCAAAGTGTTGGTCCGTTTGTCTGTGCCTCGGCGCGTAGCAGGCTACCTTTTTGATGCTTGAGCTTGTCGTGATCTGTTCTCAATGTTCATTACATGGCTAACTATCATTGCCGTATATCGAGTGCCCACTTACTTTCGGTATCGATTAGTGCGATTGGCCTCGCTCAGTCCTCCATGAGACGCCGCATACGCACCATTTGTGCGAATTTAAATGGCTTCATCAGTGTCCTTATCCTTTCCGTCAAGTTACATTGCAGTATCCTTCTAGACCGCACCGATGTATGCTTTTTCCCTGATCGTTATAAAGCCGTTACAATTCTGACATCGTAGCTTCACCCCAACGAGTTTCCTTTTTCTTTGCTTTTTTCCATCCGCTTTTTCATCCCCCCTAAGTCTGTGCTTTTGTTTGCATCTGCCGTTTATTTTTGCTTCCTCCTTTCCCACTTCCAGCTCTCTTCATCAGTTTCGCCAGAGGGGCGATTACCTCGACCCTCAAGTCTTTCTTGTCATCGGTACATTCACCCGAAGGACAGGGTAAGTGTCGCTCTTCTTCTTCTCCTTCTTCTTCAGGGTTCAGAATTACTCCAGTACATTGTCTTTTGTTGTCAGTCACCTTGGCTCTTTTTTTCCGCTGCCATGTAAGCACGCCATAACCCGTTTGAAAAAACGTTCCAATTTTATGGTGTCGTTCAACACTTTTCCTGGCTGCTTTTTGCAGTTCTTCACCGTTAGGTTAATGTGTTGTGCCCACAGCAGTTGTCGAATCAACCTGGGCTCGCTTGCACACTCGTTGTGCCACTGAGAAACCTCTTTCATCCACCAATGTAGAAGAGTCTAACCGCCATCACCCACATCCGTTTGGCGATCGAATAGTCTTGGCGTCCACGCTTGTAATTCACAGGCAACCGCTTCCAATCTACATTCATACGAGCCGCGTCGCAGTATCCCTATCCAGCAATCAGTTGATGGTAGTCATATGAGCTTAAATCATCAATACGGTTTGCTGGCGTGCTGCTAACCCACAACATCCAGCTCTTTACAGTTCTCCTCAAGAAGGGAATCTTTATGTGCTCCATTCTCTTTTACCTTTCTCGGTAGTCTCGGAAATTTAACGATGTCAGTAGATGTGTTTAAGCTTTTGCCGACAAAATGTGCATATGTGGATTACTCAGATTCCAGGGTTCTTTCGTAATAGTAAACGCATTACAAACTAAGTACTCTTCTTTCACACCACTCATTTTAGACAGAACCGTGGGCACACCCTGCCCCTCCTCTGCCTACCGAATGGCACGAAAGAATGCCTTTGTCATTCCCCTAGTGCTGACGGACTTACTTGGGATAGTTTGTTGACACTAGTTGGAGCCTTAATCGGGACATGACCTTGTTACACCGAGGTTTTGTCCTCATGCAACACAGCCGGATTGTAATTTGCTGTGAAGGTTAGCTCGCTTCTCTGATTGTTTAAGCAATGTTATGCAGTCATAATTTTTAGAACCTTGACGACCCCTTTTCTTGTTACTTAATGATTAGATCCCCAAAAATTCAGCCACCGCTGTTGTGATGGACATTCCGGTTACACTTATTTCCGGGAAAATGATTCGTTTTTCCGACTTATACGATTGGTTTTGTGCCAAAATACCTTCAGTCTCCTAATCCTTCTTCTGACTGGGTTTGAGAAGCATGGCATTAGCTTAATCCGCTTGCAATTATTTGTCCTGCCAGCACCAGTTGTTTGTGGCCATTTTTCTCTATAGCGTATGCGTTCGTAATTATGATTAATGGCTCTAATGGGGTTGTTGAATTAACTGTGCCCGGCTTGTCCTCTGGCTATTGGTTGCACGCACCCGGAGACGCTGATGCAGCAATCACGGGTCAAGCTGGTGTAGGTATCATTCTCAGCTCCAAGACTGAGCCATCGTTGGTTGATTGGATTCCGGTGAGCAGCCGTTTATGTGTAGACCGTTTGAAGACATCACCTAAGGTTGATTCACGAAGTAGTACAAAACGCTGTTTGTTTGTGATTTCCGCTATGCTCCCACCGACTGCAGTTCAGATGTTCTCAAGGACACATTCTATCACGAACTGAACGCTCTACTACGCAGTGCTACTAGTTCATATGTCATAGTACTTGCAGGGGATGTGAACACGCAAATAGGGTGTATGGGCTCTTCAGAAGCTCAGCGGGTTGGTAATTATGGACTTAACTTCGAACGGACAGACAACGGTGTGCGTCTGCTGCAACTGTGTGCGGAGCACCAGTTGTTTCTTAGTAGCACTGCTTTTACACAGTGGGCGCCGAAGTGCCACTTGGCGTCCTCCTGTAGCTGGCCAGTGGTAGACCCAAATTGACCACATCGCCATAAGTTACAGATGGCGTGGTTCCATTCTGGATTGCCGCTCGTACTGGAGTACCTGTGTCGACTCTGATCATGCTTTGGTACGCTGTCGTTTCTCCGTGAACTTTACCGGGAGGCGCAGCGAGCGTTTCACCCGATTGGCAACGGAGAAATTGTCTCAGCCCTCGGTCAGACAAGCATATCATGATGCACTACATACCGAACTTCCGCTATCTTGTTCTAATGACACTGAGGTTCAGTGGAATAGGGTCTCGGCCGCGATGTACGACGCAGAAGCATCTGCTTGTGGCACTATCAATCGTCACTACACCAGTCACTGGATATCCGAGAGGTCGGTGAACCTGTTGGCATCTAGAAAATACTCCCGGATGGCTCTGAGCACAATGTGACCAGACGGGCTATTAGGCGTGAACTAAAGCGGAGCCTACGTGCTGACAAGGAAGCCTGGTGGACCAGTAGGGCTCAACAAATAGAGGAAGCAGGAGCAGTGGCAATTACCGGAAGCTCTTCCAGCTAATCCGCACCACTGGTCCCAGAAAATCAGGCGTCAGTGAGACAATCAGAGACAGCGCAGGTGCATTGATACACAATAAGGAGCGCCGTATGGCTCTTTGGGCGGAACACTTTCACGATCAGTCAGGCTAACCCCTTGTTCCCGGACCTCTTCCTACTCAGGTGATGCAGAACGAGCCATGGACGGTTAGTTTAGAACCCCCGTCAGAGGCTGAGGTCCGAAACGCGATCACAGTCCTCAATCGTTTTCGTGCCGCTGGCCCGGATTTCCTCCCACCTTCACCATATAAGCATGGAGGCGAGGTCCTTTGCAAAGCACTGACCTCCCTATTCGAACGTATCTGGAACGAAGAGAGTGTGCCGGCTAATTGGAGCAAATCGATTATATTGGCAATATACAAGAAAGGCAGTCGCACAGACTGTGCGAACCACATGGGTATTAGCCTAACGCCAGTTGTGACAAAATTATTGGCCTCGATTCTCGTTCGTCGCCTCACTGCAGAACGGGAATCTTGGAGTAGGGAAGAGCAGGCTGGTTTCCGCCCAGAACATCGCTGTATGGACCATATATTCACTTTGCGGCAGATGCTAGAGCAGCGCCACGCATACCGCAGACCGACAATAGATGTGTTCTTCCACTTCAAGCGTGTGTTTGATTCAATTGATCAATCGATTCTTTTCGAATTACTTGCGCGGAGAAGTGTTCCCACGAAATACGTGAACATCTTACGTGCTCTATACTCGAACACTACAGGCCGCATCAGCGTCTACAGTGACCTGCCGGATTGCTTTCCGACCACAAGTGGCGTTCGTCAGGGTTGTCCGATTTCCCCGTTTTTGTTCACTTTCGTCGTGGACTCCATCATGGAGTCTCACAATGTAGACGTTGAGGTCCAGTCTGGAGAAGGATTAGTTGATCTTGATTACGCGGACGATATCGTCTTGATTTTGGCGATGTCGGTGTGACCCAATCAACCCTAAATAGCTTGTCTAGAGTGTTCCCATTCTTTGGTATGCGCTTCGTACCTTCAAAGTGCAAACTGTTGCTGCAGGACCACCGGCCACTTAATGGTCCCTTGACCCTTGATGGCAAGAAAGTCGAGGTAGTTGATCGATTCACTTACCTAAGCAGTTGCATCAGCAACGATGAGCGCATAGAAACTGAAGTCACTTTGGACATTGCAAAACCTAAAACTGCGTTCTTGAGCCCACGGCATTTATGACGACAGAAGGGAATTTCGCTCCATCTGAAAGGCCGTATATACAAGTCCACAGTGAGGTCCGTCCTGCTTTATGGGAGTGAGACTTGGCCCCTTCGATCTGAAGATCTGCGGCGCCTTCAAGTCTTTGGTCATTGTTGTTTGCGAAGCATTGCTGGTGTCGGACCAGCGTGTTCGCAACGATGATGTGTGTAAGCGAATATTAGACAGTGATACGCATGCTAGTTCCTGAGAATTGCAGATAACACTGAATAACTTGCGTTGGCTTGTGCACGTGTAACGTATGCATGGTCACCGCTTACCTTGGTGGGCCTTGTTTTGTCTGCCATATGTAGAATGGCTCAAAGCTCGTGGTTGACAGAAGTTGACTTGGCAGCGGGAAATGAAGTTACTGACGACCAAACTGGGTACCGTTGGTCCGTCTCGCTTTCCGGGCTGGAGTCCACGTAACTCGCCTTGTGCTTGGCTCGAGACTTTACAGCAGATAGCTCGCAACCGACACCATTTGCGCGTCTGCTGCCGTCTCCTAGTCGGACTGCCTGTTTAAAGTGTGTTTGGTACTGAGTTATCTGCGGGGTAATGGCTGATTATGACGCGTGGCAGTGAAGCCGAAGGAAAGCTGTCTCGCTGATGCCGCCTTATCTTTACACGATAGCCAGCTGTTTGTGGTGGTATGTCGTTAACACAAGGTGTAGACGTCTTGACCCTGAATCTTTGCTTAGGGCATTAAGGTTTTCCGGTAAGTTTCTCTTCCCTCCTTCTTACTATTTTCCATCCCATTGGTCATCATGGTTGTATTGCAGCGAAGCTTAGTTCAAATGGCTGATGTACTGCTGTTGTTGTTGATGATAATTAATGAGTCGTGTTTACTCGTAGACCGCGTCCATTTACGAACTGAATGTCATTACGTCTTATTCGGCCAAATTTGATTTCGACCTTCGAACTCCAACGTCACTCTCCCTAAACTTGTGTTATCGTCCTTCCTGACTATATCATGTCTAAGCTAATAATTTAACTTAATTTAGTTCCACACGCCTCACACTTGGTCCCTACGTGTCTTCACTGTTCTCTTTGTTTCCCCTTCTTCAGGCCGGTTATTCTCTCTTGTTGGTGTCGCGGAATACTGCGGCATGTTGGTCGGTTTGCCTGGTTTCGCTGGGCTCTACGGAGTCACTGTATCCGTTTGTCCCGGTGCCGTCTACTTCTTCTCCGCCGGTCTGATCCTGGTCACCGTGGCTCTAACTTTGTGAGTATTGTTCTATTCGAACTCATCCGCGTGCTTCACGTTCCATATGTTGTTTTATTGTTCCCCATCCAACGGGCGCGCGCACTGACTTCGCAGCTTTCAGTTCACTTTTTGCGAGTAGTGAAAGAAGGCATAGTTGATGAGATCCATCAGCTACAGGCTAGTGAGGAGATGTTTTTTTTCTCAGTGTGCAAACGCAGTTAAGTGGTTTTTAAGATGTAACCGGCAATTTACCACACTGATTCTTTTCAAGTTATTGAGAATCACTAATACTCATTTTATTGCTTGATTTTTTCCCTTTCCGTATATGATAACTTACTTTCTATCTCTGGTTGTGACTAGTAACTTTTTGCTATTGGAACGCAGCATGCATATGCTCGTTGGGTAATATGCTGCCATGCGCATACCGCTCTTTCACATTGATAGCCGTTCATTCTTCTGTAACATCCGTTCTTACGGTTTGCATTTAGTAAAAAGGAGCATTGTATTGCTCCAACACACAGACGGTATTGCCTTAGCTGTACACATACTATACCATTTCTCACTTGCTAACATCCTTAACGCAATCGCTTACATCCTTAGTGCAAAGGCTACCATCCGATAATCGTCGCACTTGCATCTACGTAGCACTGCGTGGGCAGAGGCTACTAGCCAATAGAATTCGGTATAACGTAGAGACTGAACACAGTTACGCGCAGAATACTCACGCTTTCGGAGGTGGGTAGGAAAATTGTGAGACTTAGGTGAGACGAGCTTGGTCCAGCTCAAATGGACAGCAATTGAGACTTTACTAAACGGAGCTCAGCCGGTGCACAGTGCGCCGCGCGCCCTTACTGGACAATGGAGGTGTCTGAGACATCTATTTGAGCGCGCACAGTCCCTGAGGGAAGGGAGACGCGTGCGCTCAGAGAACCGGGTATAAGCCTGAAGTGTAGTCAAACCCCTTTTGTAAGTGAGCTTTGGAGATCTCTGAGGCTAGGGCGCAAGTGATGCACGCAGGTCAACGGTGCACAACGTTGTCTTGGTACTAAAATGGTGCTCTAAACAAGAGGCGCAGATAGGTTGCCTCGTTTTGGTGGGTATTCAGGCTAGTTTGGTCGGATAGTTGAAGACGCAGTAGAAGCTACCGTTTGACCTCGAAGTCAAGTTGTCCGTAACATAAGGAGCGGAACGATCTCCGTCGCAGCAGAATGGATACCAATCACTACACGTAACTTCTTTATTTATGCGATAAAATAGCACTTTTGTGACGGATCCACAAGTCTAAGTTGAACGTGAGGTAGAAGATAATCATATTCCAAACAATTTGTACCCATACAAACAACAAGTCAAATCTGAACGAGGTACACAGGACAGCTCCGGGGTGGAATGATATAATCACCAATGGAGCGATGAAGGAGGCATGTGTTATATGTTTGCTTGCAGCCATGCAATTTCCTTTCAAAGGATATGTTAAACGGTGACTTATATTACTTTCCTTCTTGTTCCGCAAGTACGCAGACATGTACTATTTTGTTGCGAAGGGATTACACTACAAGCAGCTGGGCTCGTTAAATATGGGGGTATAGCAAGCCGGCGCACTCTACGGCAGTGGTCCCCAACTTTTGTATCGCCGTGGATCGGTCGGCGTTTGATAATTGTACCCCGGCCCGCTGAGGGGGTTTGTTGAATGTTTACATTTTCGATTGTTTTGAGTGAATACTTTTAATGTAATTCTGATTTAACATACGTTGAAGATAAAATCCAGTTACACCAAAAATAGATATAAAGTGATATAATACGTTCACTCACTAGAACGCTAAATTACGGACAACCATGTGCGTGTTCCTCTGCAACGAGACTGCTCCATCTGGGGAAAATAGGAGACAATGACTCTTGATGTGTGCTGACTAGGTCCAGTTAATTTGGTTGTTTTGTTTCGGCTGCTGACACTGCAGAAAACCCCGCTTCACACAGTTAGGTTGTCATAAATTGCAATCTGCGCGTAATTCACTATGACTTTAATTGCAGAACACCGGCGAAGTTGTTTGTCACGAACGTACTATCAAGTCCGCCGTCATTTGCAAACTCAGTAGTGGTACATAATGTGGGATAGATGAGTAATAATAATGCGATAATCGCACAGATTGTGAGTCAGCAGTTTAGAAACTGACCTGCAAATCGTCGAAATTCACAACCTTTAAAAATCACACACACATTGCTAATGTCATAATCATTATCCACCAGATGAAAAATGTCAAATATAGTGTTCTGTTGCTTGGCAATTGAAATGAAAGGAATTTAGTTTTTCTTCACGTCCAGAAGGAGTGCAAGCATGCCAGTGTGTCCGCTATGTATTGCGTAGGAGCGCGAAATATCAACTTCACCCTGTGCGTCTGTGAATGTATACGTTTTCAGAACGTTTGTAGAATCCTGTTCCTGCTGGTAGTCTGATTCATTATTCACATCCTCAGCTGCTAAAATTGATGTGCTTGGCAGGTCCCTGTTTATTTCTGTTGCGTGACTTGTTTGAAAATAAGAAGCAATCATATGGCTGTCAGCCAGTTTGCATCCAAACCATGAGAGAGTATCCATAGCGATTGCGTTTGTAGGAGGCACAATTTGATCATATGTCTCAGGTCAAGTTTGCATTGTTCTCTGAGAATCTATTTCTGCAGTACAAGGAAAGCCCGATTTAAAAAACAGAGATGGTTGAGTTCTGCACCTCCTTTTAGGTGGAAGTTATGTAGAACGCGACATCTAATAAATATACTCGTTTTTTGAAATCAGTTCCGGACATATCTTTGTGGGATTCCATGATGGTTAAAGATGGCGAAGCTGTTTTTCCGTAAGTTTCGATTTAAGCGCCTGAGTGACATCTTGGTGTTGGGTGACAGAAACTGCAATTTGATATAAACTTGGTGGAATTATGGAGGGCAACGGCTTTGTCGACAGCAGATATGATGTTATATATTAAAAATGTCTTGAGCTGTGTAGCCGGAACATATTTCTGGCAATTTTTCTGCCTAGTTGGATGCTGCACACATATCTGAGTCACCGCTTTCGCCCGATTGCTTACCAAACACAAGATCGTCTACTGATGAAAGACTGTAGCCAACTGTTTGACGAGGTAAAGTCTGCGTTTTACGATTCTTTTGCGAAGTGTACTGCTCGTTCTTGAATCACGTGTTCAGGTAATGGGATTTTCCCGTCAATGCTGACTGGCACTATTTCCAACAAGGTGCGTTTATCTCTTCGTTACTAATTTTTCTATCATTCTTTCTTTCAGTCTTGGTGTGTGGTTCACAAAGTCATACAGAAACGGCTTTCCTCTTTTATGTTACATGGATTTGTGTTTTTCCTACTCTGAAATTTTGCGCCAGTGTTAGCGAACTGTTCCTTCTTAACATCGTCGAATCACTGATACCACTGATACCATATTTGAATACCTTTGGCTTTGCTGAAATGGAACTAGCCATTTTGTCCTTCGTAAGAACTCTCAAAAAGAACTATAAAAAAGAACAACTATATTCAGTAAGGACGTACGTCAGCAGTACCCGCTCAGTTCTGGCAATCCACTGGCTACACAGTAAACAAATACACACAGAAACTGATAGTCACAGTACTTGCGACTGTATAACAGTATCACAACTCCCAGAGTGCGCGAGGGGAGTACCACTGCCCCTTTTTGCGTAACATGGCCCTATCAGATTTGTTCATTGCACAGCCCACAGCAGCATACATGCATTAGTTACATTGGATGAAAACCCGCGGGGGGAGTGAGACGTCACTCGACAACTCTGGTGGGGCTTCTCCATGTCGTAGGTTGTCCACCCCGCCTATCCAGCAACCGCGAAGAACGCGCGACACGGAAGACCATGACCGGGCATACGCAGTACGTGTCCAAGACACCGCAGCGGGACGAGCTCCTCCAGCGAATGGCTACCTCCACCCAAGCCATGCCTTCTAACTTCCACATTGGTTACGTGGTGCAGCGGCCACACACAGGCAATCGACCACAAACAAAGGTGCTCAAAGCAGAGAGTCGTTGCAGGTCAGCAATACGAACAGGCCAAGTCTCGCAACCGTAAAACAGTACAGCGCGGACAGTCGCACAATAAACCCGTCCTTTGATGGATATACCGATGTTATGGCGGTGCCACAAGTGCTTTAGCTTAGAGAAAGCGAGGCGAGCTCTTGAGATACCCAACGAAATTTGGTCTCCAATAGCTCCATTGGCTGTGATGCAACTACCCAGGTAGGCAAAACACTCCGTAACCTCCAGTGTCACGCCACCAAGAGTGAGTGCAGGTGGAGGCATCTGAAAGTCTTGGAAAAGAGGTTTGCACTTGAGTGGGGAGGTCATCCCATATTTTGTCGCTTCAATCGCCAAGTGGTTGAGTGCAAGTTGAACGGCCTGTTGACCGTCACCCAGCAAGACGATATCATCAGCGTAGTTCAAGTCAACAGTCGACTACCTGGGAGGTGCTCAACGTCAGCGTGTTTAACGAATTATGTAGAGCATTCTTCAGGACTTCCTCAATGGCAAGGTTATTAAGATATTTGCACCTACATTGTCCCGGAATATCTCGGATGAAAGCTTCGGCCAGAACTTACGTATATTGGCCTTCTTTTAGGGCCAACGCTATCCATGATTGTGTCGCCACATGGAGCAAATGTGCTTCAGCAGCGAAACTTCCAAGCAAATTCATCCAACCCTGGATGCCAGCCTCTAAGCCATGGGAGAGGATTCACCTTGATTTCCCCGGTCCCGTTCAAGACCAGTTTTTTTAATTGTGGTTGATGCGTATACCAAGTGGCCGGACGTATTCCTGAAGAACACAACTACGACAGCGGCCACGGTAGGAAAATTACAACAGTTATTTGCACAGTTCGGTTCACCAAACACCTTGGTTTCCGATAACGGTTCGCAATTTATCTCCGACGACATTGGTGTTTTTTGCCAGTGGAATTGTATCAAGCACTGCCGGTCGCCTCCGGGGCATCCCCAGTCCAACAGG